GGGAACCTGCTCTGGCAGGGGGGTTGGACTGGATGATCTCCTGAGGTCCCTTCCAACCCCACCAGTCTGTGATTCTGTGATCTTTTCTGCGGGCTCTAATTTTCATCCTAACTGTATTTGTGACCAGATCATCCCTATTTGGTTTTGTGTCATAATTTTCCTCTAGCTCCAGAAAATTAGCGTGACCATATATAAGAGTTACAGAAATTATTTGAGGACTAACAGGGCTAAAGTGGAAGAAGACTTAGATCGTGTATAAAACAGAAGATTGAGAAGTAACTTGATGATGGTGTACAAGTATTTACAAAGAGAGAAAATAGCTGGTGCTCAAGGGGAAGGGATTCTGTAATCAAACAGCATAGGATTTCTGCTAGATCATAGCAGAATATATTTCTGTCTGCACTTCTGTACTACAGGGCAGCGTAACAGGGGAGACAGGACCTTGAAGATCAAGATGCTTGTGTTAGGAAGTGGCCCCACTCACAGTTAAAAAGTTGCTGAGGTGTCTGAATAAAATATGAATTGAGGACATGCATCCTCATTGAGAAAGCACTTAGGTGATGGTGGGATGACGTAATACAAATACACTGAGAACCATTAAATTTTAGACTCTTGTTATCAAAGCACAAAATCTATCATTATCAAAACACAAAAGCTGTCATTTTAATAGAGATTTAGTGGCTTTCAGGTTCCAAAACAAAGCAAATAATGGTGTGGGTTGTTGGTTTGTGTTGATTTGTTTGAGGTATTGTGATTTAGAAAAAAAGACCTCATTGCCAAAGAATAATAAATTCAATTAGTATAAATCCATCTGCATAGGTACATGGCTATTTAAACTCTGCATGTAATTAGCCAGGTAGTGGATTTTGAAGTGCAAGTCTGATTTGCCTTCAATTTTATTTTTTTTTTTTAAGCCAAACAGCTTTCTTCTATATTTAATTTCTCTCTTGACAGCTTCTGAGAACTACAATAACATTGAATTTAACTTTCCTTTTTTCCTGCTTTTTAGAGGCTATTATGCAATTTGGGCAGGGTGAGGGGTGTTAGGCACAGCATGCCAGCTTACAGTGCTTTTATTTTCAGAAAAGTGACTCTATAAAGTCAGTCCACGGGCTCCTTTCATCATCCTTTCCAGTGAAATTTGTTTACCAGCCAATCAGCAAGGCTTCTAAATGCTTGTCAGAGCCTAAAAACTGCAGTCTGTGTGTTTGTGAGGGAATTGGGAGAAAGTAGAGAGGACTTTGCCTTTTACATGTTCCCCTGTAATTCTGTGCTTAGACTGCAGCTGACAGCGTCGTTTCTGGTGGTGAAGGAAGCCCAGGTTGCAGCTGCAGATGTTGGATGGGACTGTAGGAAGCTCCTTGCAGTTTGTCAGGTTCTCTCCCACCTAGGAGGAGCTTATCATGAGTTAGTGGAGTGGACAGAGGAGTGTAGGAGCTGCTACTTCTGGTTGAAATCACGCTGCAGGTAGCCTCTCCAAGGCACACCCGTGACTGTCAGTAAGCCCTGCCTCAGCTGTGTAAGGACTTACCTCCAGGAGGACTGTGGGTGCTTAGGTGCCTCATGGGTTTGGGGTCCAGCTCATTAGGTGAGAGCAGTCAGAGCGGGTCTGTGCTGTAAACTGGCCAGAGAAGGGCTCCATGGAGAACCAGGGCAGAAAGCTGAAGCACCACAAAGTGCTGTCTTGTGCCACATCCTGTTTTTACCTTGTCCAGCGTACTGGGTTGGTTATTTTTCCATACTTGAGGCTTTGAGCAACCTGGTCCAGTGGAAAGTGTCCCTGCTGATGGCAGGGGGGTTGGAACTGGATGAGCTTTAAGGTCCCTTCCAACCCAAATCATCCTATGATTCTGTGATTCAACATTGTTGAGCTCCTGGTTGTCTAAGGAAATAAGCAGGTCAGAGGTGATAACAAAACATGCAATCTTTCAAGCAAACTCTTCTATATCAGTCATATAATGAAAAAGAAAGTTATTAAACATAGCTTTTTTATTTTTGTTTGTAGATTTCAATGGTGACTGTAATTCACATTCCTGATGAGAGCTACAGACTTCCCTGCAGAATATTATATCAGTACCTGCTTCTCGCTCAAGGTCAATACTACGATCTGAAGGTGAGCTATCTACCGAGTCTTGTTTCATTGGGGCGACAGTGTGTAGGCTTTCAGGAGCCAAAATTAGTATAAGACTTCTATTGTCATGCAAATAACTGGGTAACAGTTAAAATTATTCTATCAGTTAAGTAGTTCCAGCCAAAGTACAGAAATTGTCAAGATTTTCTGGAGAAATTACTTGAGGCCGAGGTCCTCTCCACTTACTAAAGCAGAAGTAAGATGTGGAGTAGCTGTTGAATGCTTCCTCTCTACAGAACATTTGTTACCTCCTTGCTAGTCTCTCAAACCAGCAATTTCTCCTATAGAAACTTTTTTTTTTTAAATTTCTTTTTACCACAATTTATGCACAAAGGTTCGGAATCTGCCTGGCACGTACCATGAGAAGTTAAACCAATATTCTTATTATTTCATTCCAGTTTCCCTTATCTGTGCACGTTGTGGGACCATCTTTGTTCCATGTCTGTCAGGTAGTTGATGATAGGATTCTATGTGATTCACTTCTATATTAATGTGATAATAAAAATATGTTATTGAGAAGCTAGAAATTGGGCCAAATTAATTCTATTGATTGGTTGATTCCTTGGTTGCCAAAGGAAGTTGTGGCTGCTCCTCCCTGGAAGTGTTGAAGGCCAGGTTGGATGAGGCTTTGAGCAACCTGGTCTAGTGGAAGGTGTCCCTGCTGCTGGCAGGGGGGTTGGAACTGGATGAGCTTTCAGGTCCCTTCCAACCCAAACCAGTCTGTGATTCTATGATTAGCATTCGCTCAGAAATAGGTTGGTCTAAAGATATATTTTTCCTGACCACTTTTTTTTCAACATAGTTGGGCCAGATAAACTTTCCCATTGATTCTATTATTTATTATAATATTTATTATATAA